TTACTAGGCCTTATAATTACCTACGATTTTACTACGGCGTAACTCCATCCAACTTGAGCGATAGATTGTTTAAACGGTAAAAAATGTAAATTGCCATGAAGATGATTTATTTGTAATACATTGTAAGCATCGATAATAATTACATCGTCTTAGTCAAGACTACTCCATGATAACATCTGCAGTTAGATAAATATGAATGCTTCTACCTAAATCACTTTCAAACACGTAAACATTACATAATGTATTAAAGGACCACTATAATAAACAACTACAATGTAAATAAACTACTATATACATACTAAATAACTACCAAATAAGCAAATTTTAATTAACAATGAACTTATAAAAAATCATGTCAGTGCATATGGTAATAATGTTCTAAAATTCATTTCAGGGACTGGCAATAAATCTAATGTGTGGTCAGCTGTTACGTACAGAATAGGTGAGTGTCCAAGTTTTAAACTTTTGCATTGCAACAAAGCTAAATTCGATAGAGAATCTTAAATGTTCAGTATGGATAAACCGTCTTATTTACATGTCTTCTATCGCATTACTTGGAGGCAATGCTGTAAAGCTCATCACGCAAGGTGAAGCCTCCTTGTGTTAGGGGCAAGCCTTGCTGTTCTGCTTCGCGCAGTTGGTGTGCAACAATAAACTCATTCACGCGCGCATGGACTATTTTTTGCTGCCATAAAACGTTCATCTTTTCCAATGTCGTCAGCTCGGGTTGTACTCCTTTCATGCGACAGGCATACTTAGCCCCTTCAAGAAACAGATCCTTTATGGCAGACAGGCAAGAGACTTGCTGAACAGTCATCTGTAACAAAAACAACTCTTTTTTTGCAGTAGTCCTGTAACATATAAAGCATTGGCAAAGCTGCAAATTCTACAATTGCCATCTATCCGAACCATTCAGAGGAAAATGCAAGGTGCTTTCGAGGTCAGCGGTCCTTCACAAGCAAATTTGAGAGCTGCAGCTAATTCGTACCGCACATTTCAAGATGAAGCTGTTAGGCAGGGAAGACCCAAGCCCACAGGAGAAGGTGTCCTAATATTAGATGAAGTCAAAGTTATTGGAAAGCTAATGTGGAACAGTAAGAACCATGAAATTTATGGATTGGCACTGACTCATAACGAATTAACTAGTCTCCATGATGTCTATCAGAGTTTGGACAAACAACAAAAAATACAACCGGCACAAAATATTCTACAGTTTCTGTGGCGTGATCTCACATCATCATTCGATGTGATTGGACCTTACTATCCTACTGAGGCAGCTATGGACAGCAAGTCAACAATGACAGCCCTACTGGAAACTATGATCATTTGCGAACGACATGGATTCCATGTTTCTGCTATCGTCTGTGATGGGGCTAGTGCAAACCTGACAACTATTAAGTTGTTAACAACAGGGAAGAGAGGCCCCAGCCAGCAGGAATCGGACATACAGCCTTGGTTTGCAAACCCATTTAGAGAACACGCCAAAGTGTATTGGATCATATGCCCTTCACACCAGGCATGAAATTATTTATATGTATATATATATAGCTTATTCATTATTTATGAGAATATAGTTTTTCTACATGAGCAGAATTTTGACATATCATTTGAATAACTACCTAATATATATAATAAATATCTCTGAGCTTGGAATGCTTTCAATAATTATTTACATTACAATCACATTGTTTCGTGCCACTTTTTTATTATGCAACATAAAAATCTATTCTTTTCCTAATTCCAGCTTAAGAACATGATAAATGCCTTGCATAATTCACGACAACAAGGTGCAAGGGACTTTACATCACTACAGCCTACTGAACATGGCATTGGATTAGTGCCATTTGGATGGACAGCGATACAAGACCTCTACAAACGAGAAGTCGTCCGACGCGACAAAGGTTGCCTTAGAATGGTACCAGGACTCCAGAAAAATTTCATCGTGAGAGATGCCTGGACCAAACTCAATGTTAAACCAGCTAAAATTATGCAGGTACTAGTACAACAATGTTGCTTTGTCAAGTAATTTGTTCATAAACTTGTACATGTATAAAATAAATGAATATGATGCCATGATGGATAATTGTATCTAATCTTATGGTTAATAGCATTTATACATTATTCTGTACATGTTCATTATGATTTCAGCAAGAACGTGTTTTGGCTGAACTAAGAACTTATGCTGTGCCAGAAACCAGCACACTGCAGCCAAATGATGCCAACAATGTACTGGCAACTGCAGAATATCTAACAGCCTGCAACCTGATGTTTGAGCAAGGTTTCCTGTCGCATAAAACAGCTACAGCTACAGCTACAGGCACGGTTACAGCTACTTTGAAAAGTGGCATAGAGGCCTAAAAGGTACACAAAATGTCTAAAATTTCTGCGGATATTGATTTACATGTGATGATTCGTGGTAACAATTTATTTGACATGAATTTAATATGATAGTTGCAATATTTCCTAATACATTTCAAAACGCAATTCAATTTCACGATATTAAAATAGCTCTTTAACTGTCAATAATTACAAGATATGCATGGCTGTACATATTATATACGTCATTATACACTCCTGGTACGATGTTGGTGGCTGACTGACAAAAACGTGGGCGGAGATAAGGTAGAGCACAACAATAATATAATACAGCAATTGCTGTTGCAGCGATGGCTACGTACAGTAATATTTGATGCCATTGTACGTGCGTGCTCTGAAAAGTTTTTCTGCGCTGCTTCATTCGTATCAAGACTTCTTCTACTGTTAGCTATTGCATCCTTAAGGTGGTCATATGCTAAGTCTAAATCGTGAGATTTATAGAGTTTATGGGGGACGATGGTTTGAGGGATAAGGTCTGTAGCGTTACCCATTTGTATGGGGTACGTTGTACCCAGTCGGCCCATATAGTCGGTGTTTGGAGGGGTTTAGGTAAGATATCTGCTAGAGACTCACTAAGGTTTACAGCTAACAGAGATCGATCGCCAGCGCTGCTAATTGACCATATGCCACAAAAACGGCAAAGTGCAGCTGAACGACGGAGAGTAGAACAGGCTTGCATCGGGACCGATTCTAGCACACGTTTAATAACGTTTAAGCCGTCCTTAGCTTGGCCGTGCGACGTGACGCGATTACCAGCGACGAATTTTCTGCAACTGGTTGCAACTCGCAGCGACGATCGCGTCGCAGGGACAGTTCGACCTAGCGCAACTGCACTCCTAAGCACCTGCACCTGCATCTGCCCCTGCACCTGCCCCTGCACCTGCACACATAAGCACACCTAAGCACTCCTGCTACTGCTAGAGATGGGCTCCGACGCTCAGCGACTGAAAAATGGACAGTCGCTTCGAGTCGCGCACGAGCGCCCATGCGCGTGGATAACACGTTTTTAAATGAACGCAATAACGCAGAACAAAAATAAGTGTGGGAGAATTTCATTCACGACGACAGCTGGTGAGTGCAGTATGAGAGAAGATGGATCGTAGAAACGATAGTTGCACTCAAAAAAAGAAGATCGATCGATGTAAATGCGGGGCACATGCTTCTGATCAAATTACACAAATTACGGGCTAGACGTGATGCAGCCATGATGCCGAGGCGCGCAGAGGATTGACACCTTGTGTCTTCCAATTACAGCCTACGCCGCACCCGTGTTTTATAAATTTGAAAGGAACGACCCATTACAGCAGCAAATCGCCGATCTAGGGCATTCTGCTAGGCTAGAACGGTTTCCTACGATAGAGTTTGCCACGAATACGAAAATAACATGCTGTTTAGCGCACTGCGCTACGTCCTTCTGTTGCATTTTCGCATCTCCGTAATCAGCATAAGCCCCGCCTCATTCGTTGATGGACATGAATGGGGCGTCACCGACGTGACCAGTTACTGTACCTACTGTCTTTCGCCAGCCTGTTTACATTTCGAAATAATAAAATGCCCGGCCGATGCATTTCGCATCGAAGTGGAAAATTTTCGGCATTTTCATTCGCTGTCAGAAGTGAACGAGTGCGTCATTCGTTAAACATGTGAAATTAGAATTTTGTTGAGAAGTTATAGAGAGCGCTGTTAGCTAACTTGTGAAATGATGCTAACCAGAGACTTCTACTGTTAACTGTTAAAATTACATCCGATCACAGTAGTACTAGTTAATTTCAGACATTCGGTAATGTATCTTTATGCATATCTTTATGTCTTAATGTGTCATTATGTATTTATGCATAAATTTATGTCTTGGCATCTTTATTTATCCTAATATAGTTCCAAAGATTATAATTGGCGTATTTGTTTACATATAGGCCTACTGATATAGCTTTGTGACGTACGGTGTTCGAGAGTTCTGCGATGATAACCTCGTAATTTCTCAGCATTTCTTAAGGTGCATGGAACATTTTACCAATTTAGTGGTGTCAGTTAGTTACGGATATGTCACAGTAAGTACTAACCGTATATGTTTCACATACGTTCACCTATTTTCCACACAGGCGGTCGATCATTGTGAATATTTATTTTTATTGAGACGTGTCAAGTGCCTGTGCGTTCAACAGTCTTGTACTTCAATGCACGTGCATCAAGAGCCACAAACTCAACACAATTTCATCTCTGTTATTGTTTACGCCTGAATGCGTGATTGATCAGGGAAGGGTGCATGTAAAAGGGAGTCATTTTCTTTGGGGTTCCGACAAACAATTCCACTTGACAATTTCATGGGCCATTTCAATTAGAAGCTGTGCATAATGGACCACCAACAAGCCCTTTGACTTTCGTATATTGCTCTTATTTAGCCGCCATAGTTCTTATTTAGAACAAAGTCTTCACTCTTATCTTCTAAAACTACAGACCATCCGCTGACCGCTGTGGAGACGTGCGCCGGGCCTCGAATTTGGCGCACGTCTCTACCGCGGACAGCACTTCATACTTGAACATCCCCGCGGTCGCGTGCGCATATACCGCGGAAGTGCGCGTCTCATCCGCGCGCAGCGCTCAGGATCAACAGCAAAGCTGTGCCACGCAATCTTGTATCATGTCTCTCTGGATACCACGAGGCAAGGGCAGTGCGAAAGGCTACTGTCGGTTGAAAATGGTTTTATAAGCAGACGAAGTCGGACGAAGAATAAGACCAAGTTTCGAGTTTGAGATTGAAGCCCGATGGTGACATCAATACGAGAAACCCTGCACTATTGGCAATCGTCAACAGTTTCTCATTACAATTTTGCTGGTACATATCATTCTGACGATAATAATAATTCAGTTATTAGAGGCAGCTGTACGAACCTATTATACAAGAATAAATACAGAAAGGATACGCGAGGAAAACCTTTTTGGATACAAGGCAGCTGAAACCCTATCTCTTCCAAAGCAGCGTTCAGACGTAAACCTCGCAACAAAAAAACAATGTAATCTAGAGGTCCGTTGTTTTGTTATCTTAGCTCGCATAGTCATATTAAGCTGCTTTCATTGACTACTGTACACCAGATTCCAAACAGTTTAAAATGCGTATTTCGGGATTTTTGAAACGAAACGTAACTTAAACAATTTAATAATTCTATCAGACGTTATCTAAACAATGCTCTCAGATATTTACACATTTTTGTACGATGGTGCATTTAAGTTAATGTGTGTTGACAACCCTGTTAGATAAAAACGTCTCTCATGTGCGGCATAGAACGTCAGGCGTACATGGTGATTTATTGTCAGATGCCGCACCTTCCAACCAGTATGTTCTTTGTGTACCTTTTCCCTGAAACAGAATGTGCGAACAGCTAGCGTTTACATAGCGAGATTACCACCTGTCTTGAGAGTGGTAGTTCGGTAGCAAGGTTACGCGAAATTACGCGTATCCGGGCTATACGCGTGAAAGGGGTCTACGACTCAAGCAGCCACTACGATGCCAAGTATGCGTTTTGCTTTTCCTATATTCGTGTGATTGGTAATTGCTAGATGGTATATATACATATATTAAGAAAGTATAACATAAATTTGAAATACAGTGCTTTTATTTTTAAGAGCTACCAAAACTTAACGGGGTACGCATGTAATGCCCCAGTCACACATACACGACGCACGGCCCGCGCACTGAAAATTAATCAAAAAATGGAAAATAGATCAGTGCGTCGTTGTGCGCCCAACTTTTGTTAGGATTTGGGAGAAGCTAGCGAGTTGACAAGGAATGCACAGCGTGTTGCTAGCGCGCTGCGCGTATACAGGGCGCATACAGAGCGTATACAGAGCGCACATGTTAAAAAATCCAACGAATGCACAGCGTGTTGCTAGCGCACGGAAGGAATGGTCCGCGCATGCACCGCGCATGCACCGCGCATTCAACGCACAGCCAGCGCACAGCCAACGCACAGCCAACGCACAGGTCACTTCTGGGATGAGCAGGGATATGGTGTTGTGAGGCACCCTTCACCTATAGGACATTGAGTGATACTTGGTCCCAGAGGCAAGATGCCGCAGAGTGAGGGCAAGCTTCAGGCCAGGGTCGAGGGCCTTTCTGTATGTTGTATTCGGCTTGGTGATCCTCGGACCCACTCTGGTTAGCAGCTCGTCGAACATATCGGGGGGCATCCGCATGAAGTTCTTGAAGTCTGCCTGGTCTTCGTTACGGAGTTCAACAAGTAGCTGGTCATACAGGCCAAACTGTCGTCGCCTACCGATCCACGGTCGGGCCCAGAACCTCCGTTGACCTCTTCTCTTTCTCCTTCTCCTGCTGACATGGACTTGGTGAAGTGCCAGTTCCATGAGGTTCTGCTGATGTTGAAGAACCGCGATTTCGTATTGTAGTCGCAGCCTGTCGGGATCCTCCATCTTCTGAGGTGGTTCTTCTAGACACGATCAGCAGGAACCTCTGTCATCACCAATGAGGGTCGGAGGAGAAGTGATGATGAGGTGGGGTGGGACCCGTTTATATACCCCATGGCTACACGCTGCGTACACGCTAGGAACACGCTAGAAGAACGCTGGGCGCGCTACAGACTCGTTCAGCACTCGTTCAGCACGCCCATATTCGCTGCATGTTCGCTGGACATGCGTTACAAGCACGCTAGGTGTGCGCTAGGTGTGCGCTAGGTGTTCGCTACACCTCAGCCAACGAACATACAACGAATACCCAGCGTGTCCTCCGCGTGGGTCTGGCGTTGATCCAGCGCGCTCTGCGCGTGTCTGGCGTCCTTCTGGCGTGTACCTTCATGCGTCGAGCTCCGCGCACAATTTTGAACATGCTCAAAAATCCCGACGCACACGCCGCGCACGAGCGAATGACAACGAATGCATAGCGTTGGTCCAGCGCGCTCGACGAACGAGTAACAAATGCTGACGCACACCCAGCGAACGACAACGCATTGGCCAAAATTGCTGATTTTTCA